TGAGGATCTTTTCTTGGCATACAGGAATCTTTCTTCTCGAGATTCGTCTCTACCATTAGTTGTCGACATACCCAGCTTTCTCTACTCCTCACATTTCGACTTACTAAACAAGCTGATAGTGAGGATCAAACCGCATAATGTCATACACCTCAGCGATACACGAGCCATCGACACTGAAACAGCGGCAAGGTTGCACTTACTTCAAACATCAACATCGCAATACCACGGCACACTCTATGAGATTACTGCGCAACAGCCCCAGTCGATCCCTATAAGGTCGGACAATGAATTAAGCGCTATGCAGATGCAATCCTACTTCCATCTCAGATCAAGCAGTACGAGCCAGGGCCAGCCCCAACTTCTCAATTGGACGCCAGATCCTCTTTCACAGCTGGTACCCTGGGAGTTTTGCTACGAAGAAACCCTAGAGCGAGAACAGGATGTAGTTGCTTTCGCAATGTACTCTGAGCCAGTCGAGCCATCCTCATTGCTGCATGCATTGAATGGCTCCATCGTGCAAATCATTCAATCCACATCATCTGCCGTTCCTACTTCTAACGGCTCGCTTCCCAAGACACAAAAATTTGGGATTCCATATCTTCCAGAGTCTGAACGTACTGGCATGGTAGAACCACTAGATCCTCGAACGACGAGAATGGTTTGTACAGCGATGATCAGGGGCTTCAACCCTGAGAAGAAGATAGTAGAAGTGTTGGTACCAAAGACTCATGAGCCTCTGTTGTACAATCTGTCGCCCGAGAGGACCATCATTGTCGGTGGATGCTGCGACGTGCCGGAATGGGCATTCTTGGAGGACGCATACGCACAGGAAAGAGGGGTCAAACCAGCAACTACTGTCGATAATATGCCCGTTTGGGTTGAAAAGGCGGACCTCGTAGATGACATGGGATATCTTAGCACTGTACGCAGAGTGAGGAAGTTTCAGACCTGATAAAGTACCTAGGGAAGATTTTATTCCTACTTCTTGATGAGAAACAAATATGATAAGTACCACAATGTCATCCTCAGATCCAAGACTACCTGCACTGGAATTGCTGCTTTAGGTGGTGCTGTTGTATCAACGGATGCGTATTTGACTTTTGCGACATTGACGAGGCTAACGGACAGACGTTGGCAAACACCGATAATGACCTGGACTTGAAAAGGTGGGTGATAGTCACAAAGGAGAAGAAAGTACAGAACAGGGATAGAGACGTCAAGGTCTTTGAGGTCGGTAGTCTCGTTGAAGGAAAGAAACGTAAGTTTTGGCTTTCTTGTTGTTGCGATTTACTGCTTAGTCGCACTACCGTTGTGATATTTACAAGTGGACACAGCCCTGTTCTCCTATCCCCGATTACAAGATCATCTTCGGTGGAGCTGGGGGTCGTCAGCAGATGGAGTGAAAATGATGGATGATGAACTCACGATCGATGATTGGGCACGGCAGGTTGCGCTCGTACTTTGATCCTACAACACCCGTCAGTACAGTCATATCCGCGGCCGATGCGGAAATGTATCCGGGCATGAGCAACGAACCTCCAGGAGCCGTAGGTGGGCGGTAAGGGTCTGGGTGCTTCCACTTCTCGAGCAGGTTCTCCGTCTCCTTGATCAGTTCCTATGCGACTCGTCAGCAGAGTCCCCTATGTAGCCACGATGTGTGTCGAGTTGTAAATTGGATGGCGGTGGTGCAACAGGGAGACGCACCCTCATCTGTCGCGGCTCAGTGACATTTCGCTTGGCCTCGAACAGTTCGCGGATGTACAGGGCCTGTCCGCGCCAGAGGTACCGGTGGACGCTCCAGTCGAGGGCGAGCTTGAGGGACCGCCTGTAGAGGCGTCTGCGGCTGCGTCAGTTTCTGCGCGTAAAAGGCGAGGCGGGCGGGGATTTGGCGTACAGGACGTGTATCTTGGAGCTCATGACGGCGATGGCCCTTCCAGTGCAGGATGTGGCGGAAGGGAGAAACGTGGTTCGTGGCCGCAATGCCTCGCTGTTGTCGCAGATGGCTTGGTGAGGGCAGCGTGAGGTCGCGGGCTTGGCACTTGTGCCTGTGACGGAGGGTGGCTTCCGAGACGTCAGAACCGGTGCCCTGTGCCTGCACCTGCTTCAGTACCGTACAATTGCCTCAGGAGGACTCATATTCAAAACTTCGCTCGCTCGAAGCCGCCCATCGCTCTCGCACGCATTCCTATTTCCTTTTTCCCACTCTTCGCTTGGCTGCCCATCATGTCCGGCCAGCAGTGTCTACGCCGTCTACCGGCGGCCATGCGCTCTGTGCGAGCTTTGCGCGCAAGCCCACGAGCCATTCCTGCCGCGCGCAGCTATTCCGCCATCTCCAAAGCGAACTCGTCTGGTCTCCTCGGTCAAGCCTCAAGGTAATATCAAACACTCTGTGCATCAATATGCCCACCACTGACTGTTTACAGGCGGCCTGGCCAGCTGTCGTCACAACGCCTATGGTCCCTCGACCAGACAAGAAGCTATGCCGACACCATCGTCAAGGTGCCTGAGATGGCCGAGTCGATCACAGAGGGAACCCTGAAGCAGTGGTCAAAACGTGCGTCTGCCTTATTCAAATGGACACATCACCAGCTCACAATATGCAGAGGTCGGCGACTACGTTGAGCAGGATGAAGAGATCGCTACCATTGAGACCGACAAGATCGACGTTGCTGTCAACGCGCCCGAGGCTGGTACCATCAAGGAGTTCCTCGTCAACGAGGAGGACACCGTCACCGTTGGACAGGAAATCGTAAAGCTTGAGGCTGGTGGTGCCCCAGAGGGCGGAAAGAAGGAGGCCAGCGAGCAGCCAAAGGAACCCGCATCTAAGGACCAGGAGACTTCGTCGCAACCCGAAGGCCAGCAAGAGCAGTCTCAGCCAAAGGAGGAGCAATCTAAAGCGCCAAAGGAGGAGTCAAAACCTGAGCCTCCCAAGCAGGAATCCAAGCCCCAACCGCCCAAGCAAGAATCCAAGCCTGCACCACCCAAGAAGGACTCCAAGGCAGAGGAGACTAAGCCGGCCACACCTGGCAGCCGTGAGGAGCGCCGCGTATGTACCCCATGCCCATGGAGATATTTGTACTAACAGCTCGTAGGTCAAGATGAATCGCATGCGCCTTCGTATCGCCGAGCGCTTGAAGCAGTCGCAAAACACCGCCGCCTCGCTGACCACCTTCAACGAGGTTGACATGTCCTCCATCATGGAGTTCCGCAAGCTCTACAAGGACGAGATCCTTAAGAACAAGGGCGTCAAGCTCGGTTTCATGTCCGCCTTCTCACGCGCCTGCATCCTCGCCGCACGCGACGTACCTGCCGTCAACGCTTCCATCGAGGGCCCCGATGGTGGTGACACCATTGTCTACCGCGACTACGTCGACATCTCCGTTGCCGTCGCCACTGAGAAGGGACTCGTCACCCCCGTTGTCAGGAACGCCGAGAGCATGGACATGGTCGGCATCGAGAAGGCCATCGCCGACCTTGGCAAGAAGGCGCGCGACAACAAGCTCACGATTGAGGACATGGCTGGTGGTACCTTCACCATCTCCAACGGCGGTGTCTTTGGCAGTCTGATGGGCACTCCCATTATCAACCTTCCCCAGACCGCTGTGCTTGGTCTGCACGCCATCAAGGAGAAGCCTGTCGCTATCAACGGAAAGGTCGAGATTAGGCCGATGATGTACCTTGCGCTCACATACGACCACCGACTGCTTGACGGAAGGGAAGCTGTCACTTTCCTGGTCAAGGTCAAGGAGTACATTGAGGACCCCAGGAAGATGCTCTTGTAGGCTTCGGTACTGCAGTCTTCTATTTTTGCATATTTTGGTGGATGGGTTATCGGGCGAAAGCGCGGGAACTAGTAGTAGGGTAGGGGAGATGTGGTCGGATGGATCAATGAGACATTTGTACATGCATTGATTGATTCATAACGTGTACATGTGTCGCATGGAAAACCGGGTATATATGAATAGGTGGTTAATTGCATGCTGAGCGTTTCCTCTCTTGCCTTATGCATCAATGTGTCCAGGTTTCAATGTCGCGCCTTTGCGTGGATAGGCAGGAATTGACGCGTAAATTTCCACAAGTGTCGTTGTAGACTTTGTGCCAAATCCCTCAGCATGCCTGTTTTATTCGTATCATGCGCATGTAACCAGATATACACGTATATACACCTCCGGCGTGTCAGTAGTGTGTGGTCGCGTCTGGTGGTCGCGTCTCTCGTATGACGTCATATGAAAACCCCACCACCACCATGGAATTTAATTCTAAAAAGACATCTGGAGAGACTATGGATATGTTATTGGTCGCTCTACAAAGTCTCGAGTGAATTGAGCATGGTGGTGGGTTGTGACAATTTTTTTGAATGAGTTGTTGTTCGGTGTTAAATACCAAATTCATCAATGACTACGTTGACATTTTGTGAAATATGAGCAACCAACGAAGAAGCCATGCGAATATAAAACACAAGCAAAAAGCATCCATCGCGAGAAGGACACGTAGTATCATTTGGAAAAAGGTGTAGTTCAAGTAGTATGTGGGTTTTCACCCTTGAGATAACAGCGCAGGTGGCTACATAATCACAAGAAGACACCCGACAGCACGCTCTAACGCATATGCTTCTTGTTTGTAAGCTATCATACATGAAGTGAGATATCAGATACTAGATCCGTCTTACGAGGTGACCATACATAGAAAGTCATGTTCTTGACTGAGATGCACGTACCTACTGGTTGACGTTGGCAGTACGATAGTATCCAAGCATACTAATATGTAACTTCATGGGCTCGGATAAAAATACAAAGTCTTCTACACAGGTAAGCATTATAAGTTGATAGCGTATTATGGACCAAGTCAAAGACATTATGTGGAGGATCTGGGGTACCCCGCTGTGCCGTTTCTGGAGCGGCAATCGTCCAGGTAGTATGATTCGAGACATTTACGTCCAAGTTCGACGCTGGATACCGTGCACATGTGGATTATTATCATCTGCTTTCACGTATGTTCCGAGTTGCAAGAATCACAACTGCATGATTTCTACACGGCACTTCTATGCAGAGTACATTGTCAAAGTTGCGCAATCGCAGACTTGCCGAATGCAACGTTGTCGCACCAGTTGACCGCCTCGAGATCGCGTGCCGCGTGGATCTACCGGTATGAGGAATGGCTGGTGTGAGGCTGATAGCTTCCCGATGTACCTCCACCGCTCAATCTGCAAGCGCCAACTCGCAGACACAGTACAAAACTAAATGCAAACCAAGGCAAAGTCACGGCAAAAGACAAATATTGAAGTGATATGCTCGATTCAGCTCATGAGCTCGCGGTCGTCAATACAACCAGCTAATATACAGCTCTGGTATAAATCCCGTAAAAAGCCGAGAACCCAAACCCAGACCGACTCCCATTATCATTGCAGATGAAAAAGACCCATGAAGTAACCACGCCGTGAAGAAGAAACTCAAATGCAGGACGCGTTTAGAGCTCCTGCGAAGGACCCTTGCCAGGCTTGGCTGTCTTCTTGGGCAGAAGGTCTGAAAATATGTTAGCAACTGATGCGATGCGATTAGACCATGATGCAACGTACTCTGGTGAATGTTGGGGAGGACACCACCCTGGGCGATGGTGACGTGTCCGAGAAGCTTGTTCAACTCCTCGTCGTTCCTGATGGCGAGCTGGAGATGACGGGGAATGATACGGGTCTTCTTGTTGTCGCGGGCAGCGTTACCGGCCAACTCGAGAATCTCAGCAGCGAGGTACTCGAGGACGGCAGCGAGGTAGACGGGGGCACCGGCACCGACACGCTGAGCGTAGTTGCCCTTGCGGAGAAGACGGTGGACACGACCGACGGGGAAAGCGAGACCGGCCTTGGATGAACGGCTAAGGACGAGTTAGCTATGATGCAATGTTGGAGATGCAATGCGAAAAGACGCGTCAATCAAGCAAAAGACGCGTCAAAAAGATGCGAATTGAAGCAAAAGAATGCGCAAGGCAAACTCAAGCTCAAGACGCGATGCAGGAGATGGAAACACTTACGATTGAGCGCTGGACTTGGAGCCGCTGGCCTTGCCTCCGGATTTGCCGCCAGTCATTTTGAAGGAGTTTGGTTGGGGTGGGTTATTTGAGAAAGTGGGAGTGGTGAGAGAGATGAGTTGCGCGAGCGGGTTGAGCTGGTTGTGGGCGTGGAGTGTCGAGACGATGGATTGCTTGCTGCTGTTGGGGGGCGGGGCGGTCTTATAAGGACGGCGCTGGACTGTTGTGAGTGCGCGAGATCAACCTGCCCACGCTAGCGCGCGAAAAGGCAGCGACGCCGTCTAGCGCCTGCCGCAAGTCAGCGCAAGATCACTCGCGGGCCTCGCTTAGCTACTAAACTGGCAAGAGCTGCCGCACGGGCCTCCCAGCCGCCTGCTGGATCACAACATGAGAGCGCGCTCCCCATAAGTAGCGCGTCCCCCGCCGTCGACGACCTTTCCCTTCATCCATCGCAAACTTCCACCACGACACTCAGCCAACTCCATCTCACTCAAAGCTTCTGCTTTTAACTCAAATCCACCCTTTTTACCCAACTCCACCAAATCACTCAAAATGCCCCCCAAGGCCCAGAAGACTCCCACCACCGGCGGCAAGGCCCCGGCCGGCAAGGCTCCCGCTGAGAAGAAGGAGGCTGGCAAGAAGACCGCCGCGCCCTCTGGCGACAAGAAGAAGCGCACCAAGACCAGGAAGGAGACCTACTCCTCCTACATCTACAAGGGTAAGTTTGCCATCTGCGCGTCATTGAGCGCGACATCCAGTCTTTGAAGCAATCTGCTTCATCGGTTTCCATTGAGCAAAATTTGCTAACGCGTCTTTGCAGTCCTCAAGCAGGTCCACCCCGACACCGGTATCTCCAACCGCGCCATGAGCATTCTTAACTCTTTCGTCAACGACATCTTCGAGCGTGTTGCCACTGAGGCCTCCAAGCTCGCTGCCTACAACAAGAAGTCCACCATCTCATCGCGCGAGATCCAGACATCGTACGTTCTCCACACTTCCTTTACAATCCATCGCATATACTGACTTCATTCACAGAGTCCGTCTGATCCTGCCTGGTGAGCTTGCCAAGCACGCCGTCTCTGAGGGTACCAAGGCTGTTACCAAGTACTCTTCTTCCACCAAATAGAGTGCTTTCTTTTCGCTGGATGTTTTCTTTGGGTCTTTCTTGTCTATTCCGACAAGTGGTTATGGGGTGCGGTGTTCACGGGTCCTTTGCTAATGTGATCATGGGTCGGTTTGTCTGTCATCGAATCATCTAGTCGTATTCGACTACGAGGTCCATCAGGGTCTGTACATTATACCACAGCAGACGGGAACGAATCAATTCTTTCGAACTTCACACATGACTCCAATTTCTCCAATCATTTCCTGTTCTATTTCTACACTGATTGACCCGCTAATATCCAGTTACTCTTTTCACGAAAGGAACGGTCGAACTTGGTAGCCACCTGTCTACAATACGCACATGGGAAAACGCGCGGAATTCGAGTCGAAGCGCGATATCGACGCGCTCGAGGTCGCGTGTACCGTATTCGGAGATACGCGTCAAAAGCGCGCCTTTCGCAATGGCGCATCCGGAGCAATCGCGTGCTGCACGACTTTGGTTCACTTGACGTAGAACTCCATTTTGCGTCAACCGGCCGGTTTCACAGTTATGATGATAGACACAGACTTCGCATGGCAATTTTTGGGACTGTCATCATGAGCAAATAACTACCAGAGAACGTGGATTGCACATGGAAACGCGGCATTTACGGATATACATGTGCCAAACCCAAGGAATCCATATCAACAATGCCGAAACTCCAGACATGCATGTACCCGTATGATATCATTGCGAGACCCAAGAGAGAACGCCACCAAGAGAGGGAGAGCAAGCAAGAAGACTACAGTCTACTGTAAGCCATCCTCATCCCAGCTTTCAACTTCGTCAATAGCACCCTCTCTTTCCTGTCCTCGCGGCGCTGGCTCTTTGTCTTGCACGTGAACCACGCTCTTACCTTGCACGCTGCGGACGCCTTCTTTCCAGTTATCGTAGTCTTCCTGCGATGTTATGAGGAATGCAAGGAGCATGGAGGGGTCCATCTCGCGGATCTGAAGACGGCGGATGCGGCGTGTGTGGCAGGTTGCGAGTTCTTCTGCGGAATATGATGCGTTTGATAAAGGAACAATGGTCGTGGATGACGAGGTGGACGTTGCTGAGGCTTCTAGTGTGGAAGATGACGCTCCTGCCTCGCTCTCGGTGGACGATGGAGGAGGGCGGTAGGGTAGGAGTGGGCGTGTGCTGTGGGGGTCGAGGTAGAAGAAGTTGTTCGCCTGCGTGGCTACAAAGTAGTGTGACGCTGATGGTCGGCCACTAGAACAGTCAGTGTAACTACTAATGAAGCATGCGAGATGCTCGTTGCGCCTTACCCTGCAATACCAATACTCTGCTTCATCTGCAGGCTCGCCTTCAGTGCTTCCCAGTATACTGGTGTAATCTTGTCGATGCCCAACCTCGTGCCGACTAGGATTAGTGTAGGCTGCCATTCACCGTCATCCTCCATGGCGATCTCCTTCAGCTTGTCCTCATACACATCAGCGCCATCGCCTGACACGTACACTCTCAGCCCAGCTTCCTTATTCTTGTGCACTAGATCTTGTATGCAACGTGCTGCTGCCGAGGGACCAAACCACTCGCCAGGGTACTTTCCGCATACAGCAGCGCCATGCTCGACGAAGCGATGGATAGAAAAGGGCGCTTTCGGATCGTCGGCAAACATGGAGAGTATCTCTTGATGCTCCTTTGCATCAGGCTTCTCTTGGTATCTCCAGTCCCGCCCGAGACGTAGTATCTGCAGCGCGTTGGCGAGGATGCACTGCCCACTCCTGATCATGCACCCAAAGCCCGTGTCCGATGTGAAGCCAGGTGAGGCGAGGTTCTGCATGCGCACGCGAAAACTCATGGCGCTTGTTGCCTTTGGATCCTGGCTCTTCTGGATGGCCGTGAAGCCAGAGCGGTAGGTCATCCATATGCGCGACTCGAAGTCGTCGAGGAAGGCAGAGGGCCAGTTGCCGTATTGTGCCGGATCCTCGCCATTTGGAGCTTCTCTGCGCTCTGTCTCTTCGATGCTGGTCCTTATCCAGCTTTCATCTTCGTTGCGCTCGGACTGGGGCGTGGGTGTCCCGGCGGATGGGGAGTCAGTAGGCGTAGGCTTGGATGGCGGAGGACGGGGGTCGTAACGTTGGCCCAGCAGCCATATGGGTTCGTTGGAGTCGTTCGTAGGCGGAGGGTCGTAGAAGGTGCGGACGACGTTGCGGGTAACGCGCTCGAAGTCATGCATGATGGCTGCAACTATAGGTGGTGTGGCCAGGGCGACGATGGATGCGGAGGTGATGCGGAGGTCCGAGATGAGGTTGCCTAGAGCTGGCTACATGCGTTCGTACTTGCCACGACTATTCACACATGCTCACGACACAAAGGTGTTGGAAGAGAGATAGAATAGGAGCACGATGTTGAACTCGCTCAGTTGGTGCAGCGAGCCGCAGAGGTCATATGCGGCTCTACGACCCAAGGTTCCCGCGGGGGAGGGGTCCACGGTGGCTATCACCTGGCTGCCCACGGGTGTCACTTAACATCAATCACGCTTCTGGAATGCGTTGGCGAGAGCATGTACCACGACCAAGTATACCATGCTTCATTCAAGCGCATCAGATTTACTCATTCTGTGATGGATTATCCGCCTGGGGACTTGTTACTGTTCTCTCGGCAAGCTGAGCTCCCTACAGCGCGATAACCAGCGGCCCCATCGTCATAAGCTCCGCTGAGCTAACCCTGCGCATCATTACTAGCCCCGCGCCACTCGCGACGAGACATCGAAGAGCGCATCATCTCCAAAAGCTTCCACCGCACTTTCCTTTCCTTTTCACCGCAAACTCTCGTCGCACCGCCATCGTCATGTCGCGCGGCAAAAAGGGCAAGAGCAAGGCCAAAGGCGGCTCAGCTAAGAGCACACCGCAGCGCGCGCCTTCCAAACGCCACTCATACCAGTCATGGCCAGTCCATGAAGAGAGTACGTTTGCGCTCCTTTCCAGTCCCCAATGATTGGGTCGTGTTGACCGTTCCTACAGCAGCCGCGTCCAAGTTCTCCCTCAAGGACGAAGCAAAATGGATGTCCAGTCACCGCACCGCTGCGTTTGAGGCTGGCAAGAAATTGCGACACATGCCCATCGAATTCATAAGTGCCGGTCACCTCGAAGGCACGCTGAAGAAACTGGACACGCCTGAAACAGATACTGCCCAGGTCTCGTCTGATTCTGGCGCCGAGTCAAATACACCGTCCTCGCCCTCTTCCACACCCGACAACACAACAGCAATGGCACACATGGCGATCCGCAGCCCCTCGCCTGCGCTCTCCGAGGCTTCATCATCGAGCGCTGATGAGGTGCTGTTCAGAGGTCGTGGAAACCAGTCATCTGCTGCTCCCGTCGCCACCTCATCTACAGAACAGGCACCCAAAGCCACGCCTACCGCCACGCCACAACCCTTCGAAGGCACACCATCACGACCATTACAGTCTACTCCTGCAGTAGAAACACCACCTGTTGAGACGCCTGAGTTCACAACTGCCTCAGCCGTCGATCGTGCATCAGTGATTGTGACAGGCGACGCCCCAGTATCGGTTGAGCTCAGTATTCGAGGCAATGCTGCTTCTCGGCTAGAAGCAGAAGTGGGCTCAGATGCTGACGACGTTGATCAAGACCAATTCGCGAGGCGAAGAGGAGGTAGGCCTGCGTGGGAAGGCAAAACTACCGAATGGCAACACCGAAGCAAGCCCAATGTTGGATGGTTGCCTGATGCTGACCGTCCCGACATGAATGACTATCTGCACGGCGAGGTGAACCCCCGTGACGCAGCTATTGACGACTACATGCAGAACATGGAAGAGTTCGGTCTCACCGAAGACCTGCTGGCTACATCTGGCTTCGCTCGTCGTGAAATGGATCTGGACGCAGGCAGCCACAACGATTGGGAATCGGTGTCTGGAAGTCAAGACGGTGGCAACGATGGAGAGGGCAGCGACAACTGGGATTCAGACATGTTGCAGGATTTCGAAGACATGAGCACCTCATCAGATGTGATGGACAAAGTCGTTCGGATTCTATCAAAGCGCACCCGCAAGAGTGGCCATCAATATCTCTGCGTGTACGAAAACTCTGTCACGGACGATGCCCGTTGGCTGTCTTACACACATCTCAAGACTGCCGACGAGAAGCGGTTGATCAAAGCTTTCGAGGCAGAGGTCTACGAACGTGAACAGCAGATGCTTTCCAGTAGTGACTCCGAGAATGAAGATGACGACGACGATGACGACGACGACGAAGACGAAGAAGACGAAGAGGAACTCGACGATGAGACTATTGCGAAGATCTTGCAGAAGCAAGAAGAACTTGGCCTCGGTGGCGACGAGGTAATGTTGTATGCTGGCGACGATTTCTTCGACGACTCAGGCCCTGCCAACGACTACTCGTATGGCGCTTACAGCAGACCTAGCAAAAAGAAGGGACGTGGACGAGGTAACAAGGAACCTACTTTCCCCTCGGCCTCTGCTATGGTTGCAGCCCTTGAGATGGATCCATATGGCGGTTTTGACATCATGGACACTGAGCGCCCATCCTTAAAGCCTAAGAAGAAGGGCCGACGTGGCCAGCCACCGCCAGAATTGGATGACTCCGATCTCAACGAACAGCTACAGAGCGCGTGGGCAAATGATAGAGAAAAGAAGCGCCTTAAGAAGGCGGAGCGTGAGGAGCTGCGTCAACAAGGCTTACTAGGTCGTAAGGGTAAAGGTCCCAATCTCAAGGTCAAGTACCAGGGTGGTATTGACATGGAGGACATTGTCGAAGAGCTTCGTGAGTTCTTGGTGGGTGACATGCAGACACTGTCTCTACCGCCCATGGAGGCCTATCGCCGCGCCACCGTCCACCAAGCCGCTTCATTCTTCAATTTGAACTCCCGTTCCCGTGGCGATGGTAACGACAGATTTACTATTCTCTCCAAGACCAATCGCACGCGCATATATACTGATGACGAGTTTGATATTGCGATTGCAAAGAAGGGCTTCCAGAAGCGCCTCAAAGGTCCTCTCTATTCGCAGGGCGGTGGCGGCCGTCCCGGGAAGTTCTCTACTGTCAAACACAAACAGGGAGGTGCACGTTCCCGTCCTCTGCTGGGTTACAAGGACGGTGAGACCGTTGGCGCAAACGCACCAGAGTTGGGCCCGGAAAACAAGGGTCATGCTCTGATGATGAAGATGGGGTGGTCCAAGGGCACTGCTCTCGGTACTGCCGACAACAAGGGAATTTTGCAACCTATTCCGCATACTGTCAAGACCAACAAGGCCGGTTTACAGTGACCTGGCTTTTGTGGTCACAACACGGCTTAAGAACGTTGTTTCTCTTGTAACGTTTGCGAAGTCGTGTTTGATGGGACTTTCCCCTCTACCGTCCCCGGATGCACAACATCGATTGCGTCTGATGTGGACGTTGGTACCTTGTGTATATTCTTGTATGTATTAGTACTGGCGATCTTTCTGGCGTACGATGGGTTTTTCTTGATACTAGCACAGTCACAAAGGGCGATGGTATTGTATTGCATGGCGGAATACCGGCGTTATCTAGATCCTTCACCACCGCCTGCATACTCATCGCAGCGGTTCATTGTGCAGCTCCCATCTGCAGCTTGCGATACTTCCCACAATTCCACTGAGTTATGTCTTGTCGACAAAGGATCCTGTCGCGACACTGCTTAGCTGGGCATTGAAACTATAGAAAACTCAACAAAAACCAACGATTGCACAACTTTGTCCTTTTCCTGATGAAAGTGATCGTTCTGTGTGATCTCAGTATACCAAAATATGGCTTGAGCAGTTCCGATATTGAATAATGCCCGCAACTTGCTGCAGATATTTACCTGATGTTCGGGGTCGAATTTCTATAATGAAAAGGATCACCAATATCAGAAGAAAATCCAAACATCCAATAACATATGGGATTGGCTCCAGAATCCATTGCGATAGTCATTCATTGGTCTAAATAGTCATTTATTCCATTCAATATGTCCTCGGTACGTTGGAGTGTTTCGTCGTCCTCATCTTGTTGAACCCACTGCTAGGGCGAGCCCATACCAGACTGCCACCTCAAAACAGGAAATAAGACGCAGCTTTGTGTCTGAATGACGCTTGAATATCTCCATCTTTTGCGGAAACTTACGCGTATTGTTGCTTAGGGATAACGTAGGCGCTTTGGAATGATTGTTCGACAAGTCATGGTTCCCACTAAAGGGGTCAATTGACGGAAAGCCTTCATCAAGGCAAGCAGTCTGAGAGATCTATTCGTAAGATAATCGTGACAGAAAGGACACAAACACCACGTGTAGGTCCCAATGTTATGTACGAGAACGCCGAACAAGCCAATGCTCCCCTCTTCTTAATCAACAAAAAACGTCCCGATATTGTGAGTGATGCCAAATGAGGGTGTCGTGTTCCCCGAAGAGTCAAAATATAGTGGATATCGTAGTGAAGGTCCTGCTGTACTGGTTCGTCCTATTCTGCAATTTCTTCCTAACATTCGAGAAAAAGAGGATGCGATCAAAAGGCGGCGTATTCCTCGTTTGGTGGCAGTTGGTAGTTCTCCGCGTGCAAACCCTTCAGAGCTTCCTCGCCGTCCTTGGTGAGGTCTGGTCTGCCGACAGGTGTGACTGCTCCAGTGAAGAATCGTGGTTTCCATTCTTTCTCCGCCGCCTTGCGCTCCGCCGCCTTCTGCCGTTGCTTCTCCTCGATCTCGGTCTTGAGGTTTGTCGCTAGTCCATATTGCTTGCCTACTATGGCATTTGTGACGCCATCCCAAAATTTGAGGGACTCGTTGGGAAGCTGCTGATCAAGCGGTGGAACGATCTTGGCTACGGGATCGAGCGGGTTGAGGTCGATGATGAGGTTCTTCTCCTGTTAAAATGTTAGATTGTGGTGCAGACTACTAATCAGTATACTTACGGCAACCTTGGCGAATGGCTTGCTGCCGAGGGTGTAGTAGACCTTATCTTGCCAGTTGCCCTCTATCCGCGCAAGGACATCCTTCTCTGATACATCCTTGATCTTGGTAACAGTATCATTCTTGGGGTCATACTTGAAGATGACACCCAGGACCTTGTTCTGTGATCGACCGAGCCAGCCCTCCTCCTGGTATTCTAGAATGACCTTCAGCCCTGTCTTTGGGCAGGTAACGAAGCAGCTATCTGCGACAGATACATTGAGTGAGCCTGTAAATAGAGTAAGCATGGTCACACTACATATAATGCTCTCATGACATACCGCGTAGTATGCCCCCAAGGTAGGCCGCTGGGTGAGTGAGCTGGTACTCCTCATCGCCCCGGTTCTTCAAGTTGATGAAGATGCCCAGGTTGTGTGCTCCAGCAACCACACGCACGCTTGTGCCAGTAAATTTGGCGCTTAGTTGATCGTAGCCTCGTGCGCTAATGCCCTTCTCGGGACAGTCGACGTAGAAGGCGGAGACGGGCGGGTGGTGAGACGTTTGCTCGGTAAGGTAGGAGACGGTCACGGTCTTGCCATCGCCTTTGACGCTGTTGGCAGCGCTTGTGGGTGCGGAGTTGGGTGTCTTGAGGGTGGGATGAGTATCCTCGATCTTCCAGTTACACTGTGAGAGTCAGTAGGTAGCCCGTGTCGTTCCGGGTTAGAGCGTACCCTGAAGAATTCGCCCAATGTAGAGTTGTAAGGCTTGCACGGCTTGCCCTTGACGTATTTCTGCGCCAGCATTAGCTACGTCTTTCTCGAGGGTACATGCAGCATACCAGGTCCTTTGTAAACCAGAAGCGCAAGCACCCCAGCATGCGCCCCAGGTCGTCATCCGAATCTCCGATACTGTGCAGGTCAGTAATGGGCCTTGCAACCTAAGTTGAAGCTGTGCTGACCTGATGAATGTGTCGGGCCTGTCCAAGTAGTGCCAGTACTCTGCTATCCGTCAGATGATAGTCCTGCCACAGCGACTTGCCATGACAGCAATCCTAGATCCATGGTGATGCAACGTACCCAAGTTTGGCCTTGGTTCGAGGAGTTGTGCGGGGAGGGAGAAGCGAACAGCAGCGAGGTCGGAGACGCCAATGAACCTGAAGGAAGACCGAGTTAGCTTTCGCGCGTTGAAACTCGCCAGTCGTGCCTAGTAGACATGCTGTGACCGGGTGGTGCTACGTTACCTCCTCAATATGCCCAGGAAGGTCTTGAACTTGGAGCTGTCGTCCGGAGCCTTCTCTGCGGCGGCGTTTGAAGGTGTTGCAGCCCGCGAATTATCTGTCGAGTTGAGGGCGGACGTGGTTGCAGAGCCCGGTTGGGCCTTCTCTGGCGCAAGGTCCGCCATGGTGATGGGATACGTGTTTTACTCAACAGAGTAACAGCAAGTGGGGATAGGAGCTCGAAGCTATATCTAGGTAAAGATCGATGATGTCGTCAGGTGTTGAGGCGTTGCGCTTTTCGGGGTCACTTGGCAGTTGGCACACGCGCGGAACTCTGACGTAGCGCAGCCGATAGCCTCTAACCTTGTCGCAGCGGGGTAGTGGAGAAGGGAAGGAGAAGAATATCAGATCGAATGGAGCATACAGATCCAAGTCGGAAAGACGGTTATCTCCAACTTGCAGGGGCTGGAGTTCTTTTATTTAGCGTTGCCGTTATCGTACCTCTCTAATCCCAACCTGCGCGTCTGCTGCAAGGTCGAAACGCGCAATAGGGACATGCATTGACAGATCGTGCATCGCTTGATTGGGTGCAGTCTCGCCACCGACTCTCACCCCTACCACGTTTCACAACCGCGAATAGCCTACTTCACAACCGTGGAACCGCATGACATGTGTAAGAGAACTTCTCGTCTATTCTGTGCTACACCTGAACTACACCAATTCAAGTGTGATGCTCCAGCCTGACGTGCTCGTTTTCGACCTGTGCACACGACGACGCCAAAGTTCCAGACATACCGACTAATGACTGATCGCTGTGATCGACAATGCAAATGACCGTCGGTCCACCCCTACGCGCCGTCCCTGATCGTACCTTGCGTTGTCGCGAAGTCATCAGTTGTCCCACTCCCGCCAGACTCCAATTTCACATGCCTTGGGCGTGTCCGTGTATATTTCTACTTCGTACCATTCTTCTACTGGTCCACCAGAGCCTGACAACCTATCCAACACAAGCCATAGATCGCCTTGCGTCGTGAGCTTCGGATCAATGTTCACACTCTCGGACCGAACTGTGGCAGTATCCGAGTACTCTCCTTGTTCGCTCGCGATGATGAACTTGCGCTCTGGGCCCCGACCAATTTCAACACTCAGTCGAAGCGGGCTGCGCGCTAGCTTGCCCAAATCCATAGCACGAGGACTTGTTGCCTTGGCGAATCTGGCGATGATGGTATACGAAGCCAAGCGCATAGGCCACAACGGCGCGGCAATTTTATGTATGTTGGCACCGAAGCAGGCCGGAGTGAGCTTCATTGAAAGGAGACCTGCTCCATCGCGTGGGACTTGCTTCAAAACTACCTCGCTCGTGCTGTCAACTCGGAGTTGGTAGTCGCCAGTCAGACCAGCTTCAAACAACGAGCAAATGATTGTGTAGGAGCCCGGCTGAAGGTCCTTAATCTCCGCTAAGACACATCCACTGCGGTGATCGCCCGAGTCTGCCAGTACATCGCGACTCTGGAGACGATATAATCTCTTTCCGTGTCCCAGCGCAAGCTTGACATGTAAGGGATGCTCGTGGTTCGTACTCGTGAGCAGGATGGCTAGTGAACCACATTCCCGAACGGTGAGCGAATACTGAGGATTATCAAAATATTTCGACGAGTCTGTGCCGCCGCCAGCCGTCCGCCTCGTCCAGGCGCCTTCCTCCATCTTCTGGAGGGGGTACCGCTGCGCTGCCTGTTCCAGTGTGATTGGCGAATTTGCGAATGCTGACAGGGAGAAGCTGTACAGTGATGGAGGCAAGTCATCTTGATCAATCACCACTGTATAGGTCGAGTGCGCATCTGTGTCACAGCGAAGAAGACACTGCGGTGTTGTGACGTAGTCGCTCGACTCTAGGTAAGTATCTTTCATATATAGTCGTTCTCCCTGGCCATTACAGATAGATATACTCATGTATCCCTTTGGTGCATCTCCGTTAGAGTTGACTTGAGAGTCAGGGCGGATACTCCCGTCGTTGAATGCATCTGACTCTTCCTTGGTAATTGCTGTCGTGTCTCGGAAATGGCGACTAAGGAGAAACCACACGGGGCCGGTGTGTTTAGAAGCAAAGGCGAATTGTGGATGCTTAACGAGGCAACCGCCTGGCGACGACTCCACATTCCATTCAAAATGAAT